CTGTTCTCTCCGGTCCTCTCCTCCCATCTCTCCTTCCTCGCGTCAGTCGCGGGCCCAACGCAATCTTGCGTTGGACACGATTGGACATGCCCACGATGCACGTCTTCACAACTACTCAATATGAACACTATTCCCCTCTCCCGCGAAGATGGCTGGAGAGTCGCCCGACCCCATCAGCGTATGAAAACATGTTTAAGCAAAGAGGATTCCGTTATTACATATGTCTTACGTTTGTTTGCAATCGGAACGTTGTCGGTGTCTTCAGATTGTGTTGCCGCTGCAGCGTTGGCCTCATTTCAGGATCGGCGCTCCGAATGACGCCCAGCGCGGGCCATTTTTCGGGATCCGAGTCCTTCCTCATCAGTGTCGCCCCCCTCTTTCCCCCTCATCCGTCTTCCCGGCCCTATGCTCCTCTCGCTCTTGCCACTCCAGTTCCCGCTGCTGCTGTTCATCCTCGTCTTCCTTTTTCTTCATCCTCCTTCTTTCCGTCTTGCTCGTCCTCCTGTTCATCATCCATTTCATTCTCCTTCTCCCACTCCTCCTATGTACGCAGCGTCCTTTCTGCGATTGCGCATAAAACGAGAAGGGGTCTCCTTGGAAGTTCCAGGTGTGCCGTGACACGCGCCCGCGGACAGAACACAAATCAACGCAATGGGGCAGCATGGCAGACAGGGCGCGAGCGCAACCAGCTTGCTCTCTCCCCTCGCTCTTCTCCCCTCTGCGGTTCTCCTCCCGCGCCAGACCCCCCTCAGCATGAGCTCGCGCCGCGCACCATCGCTTGCAGTGCAGCGCCGCGTCCTGGCTCGGGTACAGGCAGCCTGCATCGAGCGCCCTGCCCCACTCCGGGCGGATTAGGCGCCTGCACGGGACAGCAGGAGCAGGCTGAGGCACGTTGGGGGAGACAGAGGGCCTCATCCGTGTTCCAGGCCCTTCGCGTTCACCGCCCGCCCATTCAGGTTCTCGACGGGCGAGCCGAACTGTGTCCCCGAACATGGGGTTCAGGCATGTCGACAGGCAGTGAGAATCGGTGCCGCAGGTAATTCCCTTGAACAGCTAGCTTGCACAGTAGTGCGCCCCGTAAGCAGGGCCATGGGGTTCCCCGTGGATGGCCCTGGGATCCGTGACTTGACGGTCTTCCTCATCGTCTCTCGTCTGGCCTCCAGTCTGGTCTTTTTTATGGTCTCCGATATGGTCTCGTGCACGATCTCTGTTCTGGTCTCCCGTCTGGTCTCCTCTGTTCTCCTGTCTGGTCTTCTCCGCAGGTTCCTGTCATGCTTCACCATACCACAAAGGAGCCCAAAGATGTGCTTGAAGAGGCACAGGCGACCTCTGGCCAGGTAGGCGTTGATACAATTACTCTGGCGAAGGATCCAACCATATGCAATTGTGAGTACGGCAGTTGTGAGTATCGTCTTCGATCGAGCTCCATTTGAGAGGGGACTGCATGCGAATCGTGCACTGGGGCCTTACCTGAAGCTCCCATGGGCCCACGAAACGTGTGAGCGGTGTGCCGACGGGGGGGGGGTCGCAGGTCGCATGCGAATCGTGCCACTTGGCGCCTTCGATGGACCTTCCTGTGGCCCACTCTACCGAAGGCCCCAGTGGCACAGTTCGCACGCGGTCCCCCCATTTCGGCACGCCCCTCGCACGTTTCGTGGGCCCATATTGAGCTCCACGGAAGGCCCTGGTGGCACAGTTCGCATGCGGTTCTCCCCCATGTCGGCACACCCCTCACATGTTTCGTGACCCCATGAGGAGCTCGATCGAAGACGCTATTCACTATTTGGGTACTCACATCTGCATATGGTCCGGTGCTACTCCAGGATGGCGTGTTGAATTGTTTTGAACATAAAAACCTTATCGGCGAAGTTGGGTCTCAGAGGCATGCTGCATTCGATGGGGCCCAACGAGACGATCTTAGTGGCTACGAAGGGGGTCCAGTAGGGGCCAGCAGTGGAGCGCGCATCGGTTTCGACAGGGCATTCGCAACGATGTCAGACACGATCTCGTCTTGGATGATGTCGTGGACGCTGTCTTGGGCTCCAAAATTGGGATGAGTCACGGTCGTGCCGCGCACTGGCGGAGGCTCTTCCTGGGGGTGGGGGAGGGGGGCTAAAGCTTTGAGAGGAGCCCTAGAAGTGCAGTCCTACAGGCCCCTCAGCCGTGCTGGCGGGCGAAATCAACAGGGCTGCGCCATTCCACCGACCCCCCGACCAGGAGACATGTTTATGTGATGTGAGTCATTGAGGGTCTTGTATTGGGGCCATTTTGGGCTCTTTCGGGCCATCTTGGGGCTTCTTTGCGGTCTCACCTCGGTGGGCCAGGTGCTGGACAGGGCAGCATGACAGGCCGGGGCAACGTCGGTAGGCAGAGGATCTCTTCTTTGCCTTCCAGGTACGGTCCGAATGGGCGTTTGCCTTTGCACGTTCCGTGGGGTTAGAGATCTGGCACGAGTCTTCTTGTCGCCCGCGCACCTCCTTCTTGCGGGGCTTCGCCCCCCCCCCCCCCTGGCAGCCTCGATCAGGACCCAGCGTCCCTCCGTCTGTTGTCACACCCCTGGCGGGAGACGTGTCTGCATCTTTCGAGCAGGCCCACGGTGAGAGACCATGGGAAGGAGGGCACGAGGACGCCGACTATCTATCCTTTGGTGGAGACGACCTCGGAGCCCAGCCAGACTGGGCATCATACGTACAACAGTAGTGGGCTATTGGGCCCAAGGTTGAAGTGGCTTGACGCTGCGTAGGAGGACAGCTGGCGTCTTCTCGCAGGACACTGTGCAGGAGGACGCTGTGTAGGAGGATTCTGTCTAAGAGGACACTGTGTAGGAGGTGGAGGCTTTGCCTGGTAAAGCGACTGCCTGGTGGACTGGCGAGGGCGGCAGAGGAGCGCAGGCGCATACGTTAAGGTGAAATTCGCGACGATGACGATGAGCAGCGGCGCCGCGTCCACGTTGACCCATCCAGTAATTGCGCAGCACGTGCCACGAGGAACTGCATACCGATTCAGACAGTGGCTTTGCTGCAGGGCTTGATGGGGCACACGGCGCATTATTACCGAGTTGTTCGAAGAAGGGCGCTTGCTTCAGGGAAGCGGTGGAGGTGGAAGAGAGGGGGGCGCGAGCCCAGAGGGAAATCAGACAACCTCCAGGCTCTTACATGTCCTCTTTTGCCATGGCGCGCAAGTGCCTACTCGTAGAGGTCGTTCCGGAGTCCTCTCAGAACGCTCTTCGTTGCTCCAGAACAGCCGTCTCTTGATACGGGCCGTCTCCCTTCTGGAGGGGCGCATGGGAGGAAGGAGGGAGCAAGGATGGAGGGGAGCAAGGAGGGAGGAATTCGTCCTTGCTACTTTCAAGACCTCCTCGCGCCATGGTAAGACAGCGACAGATGTTCCTGCTATTTCCCAACCATCCTGTGGTGGTGGGTTCTCGTTTCGTTTTGAAGACAGCGCCCCGCGTCTCCTCTCCCCTCCCGTCTCCTCTCCTTTCCTCTCCTCTCCTCTCCTCTCCTCTCCTCTCCCTCCCTCTCCTTCCCGCTCCCTCCTCCCATCCCTGCCTCTGCCCTCCGCATCCGTCAACCATTTCGGCACACTCCTCACACGCTTCGTGGCCCCATACGGAGCCCCACCTAATATCCCAGTGCTACCGCTCGCATGCGCCCCCCCCCCCGCTGCCAGTACAGCGCTTCCTGCTCCCCAAGGGAGCTCCACCGAAGGTCCCAGTGCTACCGCCCGCATGCACCCCCCCCACCCAGTACAGCGCTTCGTGGCCCCCATAGTGAGCTCCACCGAAGGTCCCAGTGCTACCGCCCGCATGCGTCTCCCCCACCCAATACAGCGCTTCGTGGCTCCGAAGGTCCCAGTGCTACCGCCCGCATGCATCCCCCCCCACCCAGTACAGCGCATCGTGGCCCCATTGGGAGCTCCACCGAAGGTCCCAGTGCTAATGCCCGCATGCGCCCCCCCACCCAGTACAGCGTTCCGTGGCCCGTGGCCCATAGTGAGCTCCACCGAAGGTCCCAGTGCTACCGCCCGCATGCGCCCCCCTCACCCCCACCCACTACAGCGCTTCAAGTCTCATAGGGAGCTCCACCGAAGGCGCCAGTGGCACCGTCCCCCACCCAGTGCAGCGTCTTGTGGCCCATAGGGATCTCCACCGAAGGCTCCAGAGGCAAAGTTCGCATGCGTCTCCCCCGCCCAAAACAGCGTTTCGTTGCCCCATAGGGAACCCCACCCGAGGCCCTAGTGGAACCGTCCGCATGCGTCTCCCCCACCCAGTGCAGCGTTTCGTGGCCCCATAAGGAGCTCTACCAAAGGCACCACTTGCACTGTCCACATGCGTCGTCCCAACCCAGTAAACCGTTTCGTGGCCCTATAGGGAGCTCCACCGAAGGCTCCAGTGGCAACGTCCACATGCGTCTCCCCTACCCAGTACAGCGTTTCGAGGCCCATAGGGTGCTCCACCGAAGGCTCCAGTGGCAAAGTTCGCCTGCGTCCCCCCCACCCAGTACAGCGTTTCGTGGCCCACAGTGAGCTCCACCGAAGGTCCCAGAGGCAGAATTCGCATGCGTCTCCCCCACCCAGTACAACAGCGTTTCGGGGCCCATCGGGAGCTCCACCGGAGGCCCCAGTGGCAAAGTTCTCATGCGTCCCCCCGCCAATGACAGCGTTTCGTGACCCATAGGGCGCTCCACCGAAGACGATACCCACAACTGCGGTATTCGCAATTGCATATGGTTGGGTCCTTCGCCTGGCTAATTTGAACCATCGGGTCTCGTACCAGGCCCTGGGACTGTCAAACAACTACCTGGGACGAAAAACGAGCCCATGAGAAGGGGTCGAGACGGGGCTACGTTGTGAAGAATCTTTCTTCTTCCTCCTGATAATCCTCCTGCCTGTGGTGGCGGTGTCTCCATTCGGATAACGCTTCCCGCCCCCCCCCCCCCCCCCCGTTGCCCTGCGCACGTGCGCAAGGTGCCCCCGCCCGCTGAGCCGCGGAGCACTCGATGCCAAAGGAGTTCTTGAGCGCGTTGCTCAAGAGGCGCTCCGACGTCGACGACGCCGCGGAGACCTGGGAGTCCGCCGCCCTCGCCGCCTCCCTCCCTCCCTCCCACCCTCCCTCCCTCCCTCCCTCCCTCCCTCCCTTCTTCTCTCCTTTCTCCGCCCCTCGCTTCAAAGGACACAGCGGCCCCCCACCACGGGGTGCACCCTCCAACGGCCCAGCACCTCAGGGACACAGGTGTGGCCCAGGGGTGGGAACAGCTCGGGGCCAGGAGCCACCGACACCGCCGCACGCGATGCTGGGGAAGGGAGGAGGAGAAGGAGGGAGGAGGAGGAGGAGGAGGTGGAGGAGGAGGAGGAGGAGGAGGAGGACCAGTGGAAAACCTAGACTCATCAGCGATGTTGGAGTACACCCTCCCTCCAAGCTCCATCCGTGTGAACATTCTGAAGCGTGCCAAAAACCATTCTCAGGATTTTAACGCCACTAGTTAACCTGACTGTTGCGTCTTGGCGATCCAGAATCGTGACAGAACGCTATTCCTGAAACCTCAACACCGCGAATCAACGTAACTGGTCCGCCCTGGCAATCCTGAATCGTTCCAACACGCCGTCTCTGGTACGTTAACCGTGAGAACCAGTGGAACCCTTGCAACGTCTTAGAATGAATGTGCCTGGCGGTAAGGCGAGAGCCAAATTTGTTGAAGGAATCGCCATCAATATACGTGAAACACCTACACATGTTTAGAACGAATTTGCGCTGCGCTAAAGCGACAGCCGCATTTTGAAAACCACCCGCTCTCCATCTGTGAAACTATTGTCAGCGCTTAAGTTTCAGGCAACCGACTGGCCTCGGGGTGCCACAGGAAGGAGCTTTCACAAGGAAAGGAATGGAGGAGGAGGAGGCGGAGGAGGAGGAGGAGGAGGAGGAGGAGGAGGAGAGAGGAGAGAGGAGAGAGGAGGAGGGAGGAGGAGGAGGAGGAGGAGGAGGAGGAGAAGGAGGAGGAGGAGGAGGGAAATGGGAGGAGGGAGGAGGAGGAGAAGGATGATAATGATGATGATGAGGAGGAGGAAGAGGAGGAGGAGGGGGAGGCGGAGGAGGAGGAGGAGGAGGAGTCAGGAGGAAGCCTCTTCGGGGATCATCCGTTAGAAGATCAGCGAAGAGTAGCATGGCCTCTTCGCAAGGACGACACGCACAACTCGAGGATGAGGAACCAGACCCTGGAGTCTGGAGTTTCCGAGTGTGGAGCCTTGAGTCTGGGAGCCGGGAGTCTGGAGTCTCGATTCTTTGCTTTCACCGTCGCCTCAGAGAGTCTCCAAGCCTGTCCTAAAGCCCTCTTGGGCGGATGTTGGGCCGTCTGGTGGATGCCCAAGTCATTGAAGCGCCGAGCAGGACTTAAACATAATCGACGCTTTTGTCTCGAGTCTGGAGTCTGGAGTTCCGGCGCCTCAACGGCGCGGGCTCTCTGGCCGCGCGACCCCCCGCCGCCCGAGGCCCCCGCGGGCGCCTCGGCGCGCCGCCGCCGAGCGCCGAAGAAGCATCAAAGAGCACTGCAGCGCGACGCCAAAGCCGAGGGATCTTTCCACTTGGCTCGGGATGTCGGTATCGTTTAACGTATCCCCATCCCCATCTCCATCCCCTTCGAGACCCCCACCAAATTACCACCCCAGTTGGGGATACACCCCTCGAAACCCGAAGAGAACGACCTGTCTCCCCATCTAGGGGGGTAAATCGGCCAGCGGGGACCAGGCCACGCCGCTGTGAATGGGGATCGGTTAAACGATACTTAGCATGCGAACGGCGGCGCGCGCGTGAGCCAGAATGACCTACGGTCGGGAACTTTTAGATAGCGCGTCGCTCCGCGGGTTGTTCCCCACCGCGCCTCGGTGCGACACGCTATCCACTCCCAGTCCCGAAGCGTCAACGTCCCGAGCGTTTCCGAGCCTCCCGCCCCGTTAAACCGAGCGACACGCTATCCGTTCGCATGTCATAGCGTGTCGCCGGGGCCGCGGCCGCGACATGCTATGCAAAAGTTCCGGATTGTACATCGAACCATATGCTTGTTGCGTGTAGAGAAACTAATGTTGACCCCGAGGGAAGCGCCGACGGGTCGCGCGTGGAACGGGCCATCAGGGGTCCCAGCACCTCGCAGGGCACAAGCAACGATGGTGTCTAGAGCTGCCCGGATCTGTTCCTCATTGTAATCTTTTCACCTCTCCACCGATGTGCCACGAGTCGCGCGTGAAACAGGGCACCCAGGGTCTCAGCACTATGCCAGGCAGAAGCGACGATGCTGTCAAGAGCTGCCCAGACCTGCTCCTCATTGCAAACCTCCCATCTCGCGACCGATGTGCCACGAGTCGCAAGTGGAACAGGTCATCCAAGGCTCACATCACCATGCAGGACACAAGCCAAGGACGACCCAGACCTGCTTCTCATTGCATACCTGCCACCTCGCGCCCGATGTCAGGTACAGCGTTGTGGTGCTGATGATGATGATGATGATGCTGGTGATGGTGATGGTGATGGTGATGGTGATGATGCTGCTGCTGCTGATGATATTGCTGATGAGGACGGACACGATGATGCTGATGCTGATGATAATGCTGATGATGATGCTGCTGATGATGATAAGGATGAGGAGGAGGATGAGGAGGCGAAGGAGACGGATGATCAGGGACGGAGGAGGAGGAGTAGGAGGAGGAGGAGCAGGAGGAGGAGGAGCAGAGGGAGCAGCAGGAGGAGGAGGAGGAGGAGGAGGATCGCTGCGGCTTGCGCTTCGTGTGTGTGTGTGTATGTGCGTGCGTGCGTGCGTGCGTGCGTGCGTGCGTGCGTGCGTGCGCGCGCGTGTGTGTGTGTGTGTGTGTGTGTGTGTGTGTGTGTGTGTGTGTGTGTATGTGTGTGTTCCCCCGCAGCTTGCGCAAGAACAAGGATTGCTGCGGGCGACTAGACAGACAGAGAATAAGACGGAGTTGAGGGGACGGTCCAAGGCTTTTTCGGGGGAGTTTGTGCGGGAGAGCCGCCTCCACAGCCTTCTCGGCATTTCGCTCTGGGTCGCCTCTTCGACGTTGTGCCCATGGGCACGGGTGAAATCCTCTTGGCCTTGTCCGATGGTCTGCCCCGCGTCGCGAAGACGAGTGGGACGAGGTCCCCCGCGATCAAATGGGGAGGAAGGAGGAGGAACCAGAGGAGAAACAGGAGGAAGGTGAGGAAGAGGGGGAGGAAGAGAAGAGAGGAGAGAGGAGGAGGAGGAGGAGGAGGAGGAGGAGGAGGATGGATGAGGACGATTAGACGAATGAGGAATAGGAAGAAGAGGAGGAGGAGGAGGAGGAGGAGGGCGAACCGACAGGCCAGGCCTCTTGGGTGCTTCTCGGAGTCTTTTCGGATGCCTCTCGAGAGTCTCTTCTAGAGCTGTTGGGCTTCTTGAGGGCCTCTCGGCGGTCTGGGGGGCTTCTTGGAGCTTCTTGGTGCCTCCGGGGAGCCTCTTGGGGCCCTCTTGGGGGTATCTTGGGAATCTTTCGGGGGCATGTTGGGAGCATCTTGGGGACCTCTTGGGGCACCCTTGGGAGCGTGGGGGGCAATCTGGGGGCCATCTCTGAGGAGATCGATCAAATGAGGGGGCAGAGCACGTTAGCCTACTCAAGGCCAAAATTTGGCCAACACCGTAGTAACATCAGCTATTTTGTCCTTCTCGCCGAGGCCATCTTGGACGCCACCCCCTCGCGAAATCCCCCCTCCAGGTCCAGGGGTAGGGGGCAGGGGGAGGGGGCAAGGCACCCTCCAAAATAGCCGTCTAGCTCACTCCCACCCGCCCTCCCAAAGTAACACCCGCGCCTCAGCATGTTCAGCGGTCGTCTTTGGATGGGCAGCTACTGGGAACCAACACCGACCCCATGTGCGCGACGCTTGGGCAAGGTGCGCCACGCATGCCAGGAGCGCCGCCCGCGCCAGGCCCCCTTGGGGCACGAGCGTGCCAGGCAGGCCTGGTGCGCCAGATGCGAGGCCCCCCACCACTCTTTTCGAACACCATTGCCCATCATTGTGTCTAGTGGGCCTGCGCATAGCAGGCCATACGCCATACGCCACCACCCCCGCGGTCCCTGCCAAAAACGACTTGACAATGATCGCGGGGTGGCCGCGCATGGTCCCGATTTAGCCGCGAGGTGCATTTTATATTGCTGTTTGGCAGGATTCTGGCCCTGCGCGCAGCAGGCAATACGAAGACCCCCCCCGTCCCTGTCAAATCGCAATACAAAGTGCTCGATGGCCTCACGAACATGACTCAATATTCGGCCCTATGTGTACTTTGAATTGTTTTGGACAGGGATCTTGGGGGGCCGCATCGGGTTGGTTGCGCATGCTTCGAATCTCGAGGAAGAATTTGTTTTGCATTGTTTCTTGACACGGATGGTTGGGGGGGGGGGGGGGTGATCATAGGGTCGGCATTGTTCCTGGTTGGCTGCCAGTCACCTGGGTGAGGGGGTGTATATTCATAGGGAAATTGCTGAACCCCTCCCCGAAGGGGCAACAGGGGGGTTGGGAAAGGAAACTCTCTAAACCACTCACGCCCTGAAGGTCTGGTGGGAATCCATGGGAAATCCCTCCTGCCTCCCTCCTTTCTGCTGCCGTCTTCGCGACTGAGTAGTTCCTTATTCGCCGCGTTGCCCCAGATTCTGGGAGTGGTGTATTTGAATATTCGTCTGCCCATCAAGACAGGAAGGTTTTCATACTTACAAGCTCCCCTGGGACTTGGACCAGACAAGTCGTGATCGCGGTGAGGCCTTGCATCTGTCCTGCACTGGCGGTGGAGCGCTGGCACTTGTCTTGTGGGTATGACGTGGAACGTCCAGCGAAACACTCGTGCCTCGTCCCGCCACCATGACTCCAGCCTCCTCCACCCTCTGCTCGGGGCCCAGGTCTGCGCCGTCGCAGTCCAACGCGGACGCCTCCCACTTGTCGGGCCTGAAGTTCGACGCGCCGAGCGCGAAGGAGTGGCTGAAGCAGCTCGAGCCGACGCCGGAGGAGGATCGCCTGTGCTCCCAGGCCTTCGTCGTTTTGGGTGGATCACCGGAGGCCGTCAGACACGGCCCAGGACGAACCACACGAGTCATGGGGATGTGGGGTCGAGAGTTCGGGTTTGAGGGGGGCGCGCCGTGACACGAAGATTCATGAGGTCGGAGGTCTGGGCCGCCGCTGTGCACTCGGAGGTCGGCGCTTGCGCGGCTGCACGAAGCACGCGTACCTTGTTCCTTTCTTTTCCCCAAGTATACTTTGCCTGGCGGGTTCCTGTTTTGTGAAAGAAGCTGCGGGTGCGGCGCTCATAGAGAGAGGTGCCCCCCCGGCGTTGCCTGGCTTCCTTCCTTGGTCATGTTTCCTCAGGCGTTGCCAAGTTCGCGGGTTTTGTTTCTTGAGTTCTCCAGTCTTTCTTCGGTTCGCCGGTCTTGTTCTTCGCTTTCTTTTCTGAGGTTCCCTGGTCTTACTCCTCGGGTTCTATGGTCTCGTTCCTTTGGAATTCCCGATCGTTGCAATGCCAAGCAATTTCAAGCACGTCAGGCAAGGCCGAACAACGCCAATGAACGCAACACAATGCCAAACAACAAGCAATGCCAAGCAACGCGCACCAATGTTATGAAAAGTCATGCAATTCCAAGCATCGAGTCCAAGCAACGCCAAAGACGCCAAGAAATGCCAAGCGCTGCCAAACTCATACCAATTGGGTACCAAGGGAACGCCAAGCAATGCCAAGCATCGCCCAGCAATGATTCCTAGCAAAGCAAAGAAATGCCCAACAGCAAGTTCAAGCAACGCAGTGCCAATCACGGCCTTGCATGGTTTTTTATTGTTCAGAACAGTTCGAATTGTTGTGGGGGAAGAATTCCAAGCGAGATCACGCCGAGTCCATTCTTCTCTTCCTATAGTTTTGTATGAACATGTAGTGCAATGTCCTGATCGTGCGTACTCTCATGTACGACAATAGGCGCTGCATGAATTTCCGCACTGGATCTTGCTACGTGCTAGCTGATAGTAACATGAAATGGCATGTCCTGGTCTTCCCATCTGGCCTTTTTCCAACAACTCGTCCGCTTCACCATGCCCCTCGTCACCATCCCTGCCCTTCTCCCTCCTTTTCCATATGTGCTTCCCCCCTGCTTCGATCCCTCGCCCTCCTGCCCTGACCATGTTGCACTCGGCTTGCAAGGATGATGCGAAAGAGGGTGACGAGGAAGAGCACGACGATGAGGACGGGAGGTTGTGGAGGAGGAGGAGGAGGAAGTCCGTAGCCATGTTGGCTCAAGACGTCTGGCTCGAATTTCAGACACGACCGTACGGTCACCGACACCCGAGCCCCACAGTTCGACCAGGCATGGACTTACCCTCAATGGAACCATCTGTTGATCGACAGTGAGCGGCCTGAATACGGAACACCTACTTTTCACAAAAGGGCTCGGTGGTTCCTTAGGCTTGCATGCGTTATCTATCGCCCACTATGCGCTACTTATTATATATCGTTCCTTATGCGTTATGCCTTTAGAAAAAGGGGCTTCGTTCCTTATTGATCGTTCCTTGGGTCAGGCCGATGACTGTATGCTGGGACAGCCACGATCGACTGAAGGATCTTCGGCCGTCTCCCAAATATTTCTCCGACAAGGCCGAGTTCAGGATTGCCGAGGGCACCAGTGACTTAACCTCAAAGAACGCAGAGGGGGCACAACAACTACAGCAACATGGACGACCAGACATTGCACCGAACGCTCCCGCCCCGAGAATTCCAACAAGGAGGCCTGCCGAGTGTATGACAGGGGCACACCATACGGTAGAGGGGGACACTTACTGAACACCCCCCCTTCCCCCCTAACTCAATGCTGGCACGCGCGGGGGAGACTGCGGTCGAAATGTATCTCATCAGACCCACGCCCAACTTTGAACATTGGGGGGAGGGGGAGGCGTTGACGGATGAACGTGGCATGTGTTCGCTAATTTTTTCCGAGGCCTGTACGATCAGAAGTCGAACTGGTCGACTAAAGACAGCATGATCGCGCCGACTTGACCCACAATTTGCAAAACCAGCGACCCGATCACCACACAAATCACAGACGGGACTTTTTGTCGCAGAAGCCCACCACGGAGTATACGGACGCAGCATCGGAGGTCGGTCAAATCATCATCCCAATCAGCACGCCAAGAGGATCGATGAGCACGTTTTACAACCACCACGACACCCTAGCTTTTCCGGGAGCGACCACCACCTGGAAAAAGAGCACACCAAAGAACACGGATGACGTGATACGCGCCCTCCATATTTCACTACAGAGAAGCAGTCTGGGTCAGAAGCAGGGGCGACCGCACCCGCAACGACACACACACACACACCACCGAGCCGCGATCGACGCTCGACCGTGGGAGCGGGCAAAGAATTTGACCGAGGCGAACATGATTTATCTCGTCCCTCCCCGGGTTGGCCCGCGCGGGACGGAAATGTCCAACGTCGACCAGATCCAAGAGATCTTGCCAACGCAGGTGTTTAAGCGAGCCGAATTAAGGACGCGCAACGTAAGGCCATCCCTTCTAGGACCCGCAATGGTTCCTACCTGTTCCACGCGACCGGCCGGAACAGCAACCTGCAGGAACCAAGCGCACATATATATATATATATATATATATATATATATACATATATATATATATATATATATATATATATATATATATTCTTTCTTGGCTACCTGACGGTAACCTTGACAATGCGTCCTCAAAGCGACAATGTGGTTTCCGACAGAAGCGGCCAACACAGGATGCCACGCACTGGCGCACGTTTCCGCGCCGCACAAGGCGACCCAAACAGAGACCTGATACCTTTGACCGAGGTCACGAACAAAGAGAACCACCTTCTCAGGGCCTACAGCGCGGAGCACAGCGCTCTCATCGACAATTTCAACGAGGCGACCGGCAGGTGCGAGTTTCACTTGGGACCGCCGCCCAATGGCAAACCAAAGTGGCTTACCATTGTAGTAACCAGTTGGCACTTTCCAGCTCACGTCTCATACGAGGACAGCATTGTGGACTAACGCGCAACCGCGGACATGACACCAGCCCGAGATGCACACATTATCACCCGACCGCCAGAGCCGACAGACCCAGGCCCACGGTTGCACGAAGACACATTGCAGACATCCACGACCTCATGTAATATGTGCCGCCTGGACTACGCGCAGAACAGAGAAATCTGCTCAGGCGAGGACCGACTTCTACACCAGCACCAGCGGCGACTACGAGGCGCTGGTCTAGCTGATGGGCTTCGCGAAGCGCACGCGCACAAGCGATGCCACCCCGTTCGCACACAGCGCGCGACTTGCACAAATAGACAAACCCAGATTACAGCAAGCCGCCGCGAGTTACCTGGTGACGACCAATCGAGATATCGCCGACCATTCGAGCCTCCCGGGCAGGCGCCCGCAGCGAACCGCCACCTCCAAACTGCCCACCTCCGCCGTTTTACCCGCACTGCGACGCGATTTTGGACGCGCGCGAGCGCGCGCCGGCACAGGCCCACCAGGCAGTTGCCCCCGCCCATGGCTTACCTACGGCGCCCCGCCCTCGACTCCTCTTCCCGAAGCCGTGGGTCGCGCGCCCTGTCGAAGGCGCTCCTGCCATGCGGCTCGATCAGGTATGCGACTAAAGCCCGGGGGCGAGGGAGTCCGCGTGGGGCGGCCCAGGCAGCGCGCGATTGCTTCCAGGCTGGAGGGGGTTTTCCCTTCCGACAGCGCGGAGTGCTTCTGCAGCGCCAGCGAGCATCTCGCGACCTGCCCGCCGATGGCGCCGCGCGACCAGGGCCAGCCACCGCCGCGCAGACTACGACTTCATCCCCAAGGAAAGAATCGCGGGTCTGAACGACAACCAGATGACCGAGCTCACGCGGCCCGACTGCCCCCGCGGTCACCGCGCGGACCTGCCCCCGTCCAACCGGGCCGATGCTTTCGCGGCCGAGGAGGGGGCCCAGGGGACCATCGCGGATATCCAGGCGGCCCCGCCACCGCAGCGCGGCGCCCGCGGCCGGCGAGGCGGCGCCGACTACCGTGCATGGGCCGCGGCACAAAGCACTCAACGACGTCATCGGACCGGATGGCGCGCCGGAGCAGCAGAACACGACGGCGAGTGAAACCGGCGTTTCAACTTCGCCAGGGCGTTCCATCCAAGCCGCCGCCCAAAATGCCGCCATTGTGCATCGGCGAGCCGAAGAGGTCAAGTGGCCGCGGCGGCCACGCCGCGACATCTCACCTGCAGGGGCCCACGCTCAAAAGTCAAGGCGCTCAAGGGGCCCCGCGCGGAGACCCCGCGCGAACAGGCGAGGCCGCCGATGGAGCGGGCGCCAAATTGAACGACCTCGGGAACTGACCCTGGCGAGAGGCGCCAAGACGCGATCGCGCGGATGACTGGCGACATCATCAGCTGCCACCAAGACCGGGAAGGTATTATTTTCAGGATCCTCGTGCACAAGATGACCCCGCGGTACTTCGACAACATGGGCGGCGTCGGGGGCGGCCGCGCCATCGGGCCGACGACCACCGCGACGCGCACCTCGAGCGCGGAAGGATCATGGGCGACGTCGACGCGGCGCTCAACTACGCCCTCAGGCATAACGGGCCACGCGCAGCGCGCCCGATCGCGACGACGCGCAGGCAAACCGTGCTCGCCCAGTTCGTCGACCATCAGCTTGCCGCGATGCTCGCGCGCCTGGTCGGCGACGATTGTCGCGACGCGCCCGCGCCAGCCGCAGTGGCCAACCAACGCCGCTTCCCATTCAGGCGCGTCAAGCTAGGCGCGCGCTGCAATCCCACCTCCCAGCCCGCGTTCTTCCCCATCGCGCGGTTCCAGAGAGATACCGCCGCCGCTGCCATCGATGAGACCCACGAGTTGATCAACGTCCAGGGCTCTCACCAGAGCGCCGCTGCCTAGGAGCGCGCGACCCAGCCCCGCGGCGCAGCATGCCGACCGCAACGCGCCACCACTTGCGCGCGGCCCAGCGCAAGCATGAGCTCTTACCCGCGCTCCGAGCAACGTCGCAACGCCGCGCCGACGCACCTGCGCCCGCATTGCAAGAGGAAGAGATCAGTTTCGGCAGCGCCATCGCCGGGCTCAACCTCCCGCGGGAACCCTTCGCCATATTCGCTACCCGGTGAGAACAGATCGCGGACCTGCGCGCCCGGCCCGCCGTCGAGGCGGGGCCGACCCGCAGCAGCGCCGCCCCCCGATGACAGGCGGCTTGACGTATAACGACCGACGGCCGGCGCCGGCATATGTCCGCGCGACGATCGCAGACGCGCCACCGCGCTAGCCAGCGACCCCGCCCCTCCCGACCGCCCTGGGAGCTCGGAAGCTCCGGCGACCAACCCGCAGGGCGAAGGCCGCGGAAGCACTGCTGGCCTGCAAGACCAGCAGGCGCTGCCTTGAGGCGTCCACCACGACCGAAGCCGACCAAGAGTGGCAGCCATGGCGGCTTTGTGAAGTCGCCAACCAGCTCGAATTCAACGCTGCGGCGGAACGGGAGACCCCCCCGTCGCCGACAACCGGGAGGCCTAGCCTCAGGATGGGACTGGCCGAACGACGGCCCACTTGCGCGCCGCCGCCCTCGTGCTTGATATTTGGGTAGTTTTGCTTTGCGACAGACGCGACACTCACTGGCAGCATCTCGGCGCCTATTCCCATGCCGAAATGCACGCGCTCGCCGACGTTCGTCAGCAGCGGCGCAGCCAGTAGCAGATGGCTCTAACCCACCGCTCCCTCCACGGCTCCACGGCAGTGCGTCGCGCAGACAGTCGCCCGCCGGGGCTTCTCTATCAACGGCAGCGCTGACGAAGACGCCCACCTGCCAAGGGGCGTTCCCACCCACGGATGCTACATATCCGACGAACTCGCGTGGGCCCTGACGGGGCATGCCGCGCCCGCGGGATGCGACGGCGGGCCCTTGCGCGGTTTTCTCGCCCGCGCGCGCGCCGCGCGTGAGATGGCCCCCGCTAGCCTCCAAACTTCGCCCCTTCCCGGCTCGTCCTCGCGTGGCCCAGTCCCCCCCCCGCATTCCCGGGCTGGCGCCCCGCCTTCCCCTTCGCGCGGCGGCGGCGCGGGGCGGTCATCGGGCGAGGGTCCGGCGAGGACTCGCCGCTGGCCGCTGGGCAAGGGCGAGGGCGGCCGCGGCCGCGAAGCAGCTGGAAGACTGCCATCGCAATCCGGCGCATTCTGCTCGGCAAATCCAAGCTGTCATTCCAGGACGCAGCACGCGCCCCTACCTTATTTCACCCGCGACGCGCCGCGCGTCAGCCGCGCAGCTGCGATCCGACCTGCGCCCCTGAGGGAAATCGCGGCCTGGGGCAGCTGGGGCGGTGGACGCCTGAACCGCATAGCTGCGCAACCGCCGCGGAAGGCATGCACCTCCCCAGCGCGCGGCTAATCCCCCCGATCGGCCCCCACTTCCGCAGTCTGGGGGGTGCCCTATTCATGCTTGGCGGGGGAGGGTATTGGTCGCTGGGGTCGGGGGCGCTTTGGGGGTATTCCCATGCGCGGGGGGAGAGGCCCTTCTGCCTTCCGCTATAGCGAGGGTGGCTAGCCACCCTGTCGGCGAGCGCGGCAATCCCCGCCACCGCTGGAAGGCCCAAACGTCCCTTAAACTCGGTGGAAACCTCCCAAGCGGCCTCGAGGTCTATGTACTGGGAGGTCTACGCTTGCTTGCAGGCGAGGGTTCCCGTCTTTGACCTCGGGGGCGCCTGTGGAGGTTTCCAATGAGCAGAGAGAGAGAGGCAATTGGGTTTTCTCGCTCCGCCGAATGTGGCCGCGGGGCAGCCGCGGCCACGCGGCCAGCAGCGCGCTTACCCCGCCGCTCCCCGCGTAACCTCACGCTCTGTTCAAGGCTGCCGCCCATTGCACCCAGCCAACAGCGCGTGTGCCATGCATTCTTAGCTTGTGCAGCCAGGCGACAATGCGCTCGTGCGCCAACTGGGCTGCAGCAGCACCACCCTCGTTCGGAGCCGCCACCGTGATTTTCCCCCGCCCGCCGCTTCTGCTAAGAAGGGCATCTCAGTAGAGGGGGGGCCTGGGCGGTCTCCAGGGCGCTGGCCCGAGGCGGCCAGTTGACCTGAAGGAGAGAGGACGTGGCACAGCCACCAAATGCTCGGCCCCGGGGGGCCCGGCCCATTTTTCTGCACCATGGCGCCACGCGCACTGCTGCCACCGCTATTTCAACTTGTGACCGTCACGAGCTTACCCCCACCACCCTCCCCCGCCTCGAGATCATGATGCCCCCATCCTTCTCCTTCTCCTCCTCCTACTGTGTGTCGCGCGCGCCGCCGTTGCCAACGCAACTATCCATTCCTTCTCTTCCCCCAGGGGTCATGGTTCTCTCCTCTTCCCCTCGTCGGTCTGTCTGTCTGTCTGTCTGTCTGTCTGTCTGTCTGTCTGTCAGTCAGTCAGTCAGTCGGTCGGTCGGTCGGTCTGTCTGTCTGTCTGTCTGTCTGTCTGTCTGTCTGTTTTTTCCAACGTTTTCTTGTCCCCGCGCCAGCCAGCGACTCTTGGGCTTTTGGGGCGGCGGGCCAAGTGTCACATGGCTTTAGCCCCATCAACACCGTAGGCCCGACCGGCCCTGGGGGGGTGGGGCTTCGTCAGTTCGACCATGCATCTTCCAGGAAGCAGGAACCAGGAAGAGGAGGAGGAGGAGGAGGAGGAGGAGCAGGAGCAGGAGGAGGAGCAGGAGCAGGAGCAGGAGCAGGAGCAGGAGGAGGAGGAAAACGGGAAGGAAGGGTTCACTGTTTGCCGTGAGATTGCGGAGAGTACACGCACGAAGTCCACAGATGCACGGGGAATGGACCTCCGAGCGATGGCGAGGTGTCCCGCCGTGCCGTGCACTGGGGCCGCCACGCCGTGCCCGGGCAGGACGCCCTGGCGGGCGCTCTCGCGGACGGCCTGGCCGAGCGGGCGCAGGAAGGGCCCGAGGCGCGCCGCCGGGCGCGCATTGCTGGCCGTCACGGTGCCCCGTCTCCCCCCCTTTCTCGCCCCCTTTGAATGGGAGATCCAACACAGCCCCCCGAGGAACCCCACATACTTAATTTAAATCTTATGTGTTTGCTTAAGTTTATACTGTATGCGCAATTCTGCGTGCTCAGCCCTCGTCGCGAATGTTCCCCTATATGTCATCCAACGCCATATTGCTTGAACCTCCTCCCTCTTCCTAGCCTGCTATCCTCCATCGAGGACATATTCGAGCCAGCCAGCGGCCGCGGTGAGGGACCACCCCCTGCGCACCCTCTATGGTGTCGAGAAAGTGCCACGCCTGCTATGCCCTGGACGACCGTCGTGCCTGGCGGCCGCGGTGAGGGACCACGCCCTGCGCAGCCTCTATGGTGTCGAGAAAATGCCGCGCCTGCTATGCCCTGGACGACCGTCGTGCATAGCGGCCGCGGTGAGGGACCACCCCCTGCGCACCCGCTATGACGTCGAGAAAGTGCCACGCCTGCTATGCCCTCGACGATCGTCGTGCATAGCGGCCGCGGTGAGGGACCACCCTCTGCGCACCCCCTGTGGTGTCGAGAAAGTGCCACTCCTGCCACGATCTGCGAGCGCGTCACGGATAGAGGCCGCGCTGAGGGACCACCCTCTGCGCACCCCCTGTGGTGTCGAGAAAGTGCCACTCCTGCCACGATCTGCGAGCGTGTCACGGATAGAGGCCGCGCTGAGGGACCACCCTCTGCGCACCCCCTGTGGTGTCGAGAAAGTGCCACTCCTGCCACGATCTGCGAGCGTGTCACGGATAGAGGCCGCGCTGTTGCCACGATCTGCGAGCGTGTCACGGATAGAGGCCGCGCTGAGGGACCACTTTCTGCGCACCCCCTGTGGTGTCGAGAAAGTGCCACTCCTGCCACGATCTTTGAGCGTGTCACGGATAGAGGCCGCGCTGAAGGACCACCCTCTGCGCACCCCCTGTGGTGTCGAGAAAGTGCCACTCCTGCCATGATCTGCGAGCGTGTCACGGAGAGTGGCCGCGCTGAGGGACCACCCTCTGCGCACCCTTTGTGGTGTCGAGAAAGTCCCATTCTTGCCACGATCTGCGAGCGTGTCACGGATAGAGGCCGCGCTGAGGGATCACCCTCTGTGCACCCCCGTTGGTGTCGAGAAAGTGCCACTCCTGCCACGATCTGCGAGCGTGTCACGGATAGAGGCCGCGCTGAGGGACCACCTTCTGCGCACCCCTTGTGGTGTCGAGAGAGTACTACTCTTGCCACGATCTGCGAGCGTGTCACGGATAGAGGCCGCGCTGAGGGACCACCCTCTGCGCACCCCCTGTGGTGTCGAGAAAGTGCCATTCCTGCCACGATCTGCGAGCGTGTCACGGATAGAGGCCGCGCTGAGGGACCACTTTCTGCGCACCCCTTGTGGCGTCGAGAAAGTACTACTCCTGCCACGATCTGCGAGCGTGTCACGGATAGAGGCCGTGCTGAGGGACCACCTTCTGCGCACCCCTTGCGGTGTCGAGAAAGTGCCATTGCCTGTGTTGTCTGTGCTGCGGTGTGCTGTGCTGTGCTCTGCTCTGCTGTGATGTGCTGTGCTGTGCTGTGCTGTGCTGTGTGCTGTGCTGAGCTGTGCTGTGAGGAGGGGAGGAGGGAGCAGGGGAGGTGTGTGTTTGTGTGTGTGTGTGAGAGGAGACGCGGGTGCGACGCGGCAGGGAAGAAAACCAGAACCCCACGAAACATGTGGGGAACAAGTTGTGGTGTGGTGTGGTGTGGTGTGGTGTGGTGTGGTGTGGTGTGGTATGGTATGGCGCGGGGTGGTGTGATGTGAGAATGTAATGCGGAAGAGAGGGAGGTGTGAACGCGGGTGTGACGCGGGTGTAGAGAAGGGGATGTGGGTGAGAAACGCGGGTGCGACGCGGCAGAGAAGAAAGCCAGAACCCCACGAAGCATGTGGGGAATAACATATTCGTCGAATCTACGAACATCACGAATAATGTTCGCGAATCTACAAACATTCCACGCATCTTTCGTAGAACCGATAAACATTCTAAATGTTTCGCGTGTCCCCACCAGCCCATCCAGAACCGATGCCCAGGCGAGTTGCCTCCTCAGAGTCTCGGGTGTCTCGTGGAAGCTTTTTGGAGGCCTCTTTGGGGCTTCTTGGCGGTCCCGGGGGCCTTTTGGAGCGTCTTGGGTGCCTCGTGGGGCCTCTTGGGGCCTCCTGGGGCCTCTTGGGGGTCTCTTGGGAGCCTTGGAGGCCTCTTGGGCGCCTCTTGGGGCCTCCTGGGCGGCTCTTGGGGCCCTCTTGAGGCGCTCTTGCTCTTAGGGCCATCTTGGAGGAGATCGATCAAAGAAGGGGGGGGGAGCTCCAATTACTGTTCCCCCTCGGGAGCCCCAGAAATTGCCTCTTGGGCCCCTCTTGGGGCGCTCTTGGGCGCTCTTGGGGCCGTCTTGGGGCGCTCTTGGGCCTCTCTGGGGGCCCTCAGGGGCCTTCTTGGAGCTGTCTTGAGGCCTCGGAAGTCCATCGGAAGCGAAAAGGCGAGAAGGCAACCATCATTGATTTGCACTCGGTGCTCGAAGAAGTTTGGCCTCTTGGCGGCCTCCTGGGGAGGCTCCGAGGCCACTCGGAGCCATCTTGGAGCGGTCTTGGGGCCTCTTGGAGCATCTTGGGAGCCACATTGAGCCATCTCGGGCTATCTTGAGCCGTCTTAGAGGTCATCTTGGGCTCTCTGAGGCCCTCCTAGAACCATCTTGGGCCATCTTGGACGCTCCAACGCCTCGCGACACCCCCCCTCCAGCTCCAGGGGAGGGGTAGGGGGATGGGTCAAGACACCCTCCAGATAGCAAGCCGACTATCTCACTCCCACCCGCCCTCCCAACACATACGTAACACCCGAGCCTCAGCATGTTCAGCTGTCGTCTTTTGATGGGCAGCTACTGGGAATCAAAATCGAGCCCATGTGCGCGACGCTAGGGCGAGGTGCGCCACGCGTGCTAGGCGCGCCACGCGCGCCAGGCACCCCTGGGGCCCGAGCGTTCCAGACACGCCTGGTGCGTCAGATGCGCCTCGTGCCTCCGCGTGCGCCAGGTGTGCCGCATACTCCAGCCGCGCTATGTGCGTCACGTTCGGGGAACGTGCAGAGTGTGTCAGGTGCGCCTGCGCATGTGACAGCACACATATGGAAACACATCGGCCCCCACCATTCTTCTCGAAAGCCAATTCCCATCAGTTGGTCTGGTGGGCCTGCGCGCAGCAGGCAATACGCCACCACCCTCGTCGCCCCTGTCAAAAACAACTTGACAATGATCGCGGGGTGGCCGCGCTTGGTTCAGATTTAGCCACGAGATGCATTTCTTATTGTTTGTTGTCAGGGATGGTAGTCCTGCGCGCAGCATGTAGTATGCTAGCACCCCCGCCGTCCCTGTCAAAAAATAATACGAAGTGCTCGCGGGCCTCACGAACATGATTCTAGACTCTGCCCGAACATGTACTCCGTACTGTTTTTTGACAGGGATGGTGGGAGGGGCCGCATCGGGTGGGTTGCGCATGCTCCGAATTTGGAGGCAGATTGCGTCTTTGTATTGTTTTAGACACGGATTGTGGGGGGGTGGGGGCATGGTTCTTGGTTGGCCGCCGGTCGTTGTCGCCTGGGGGAGGGGGTGTATATTATTGTAATAGGGAACAGTGGTAAACCCCTCCCCGAAGGTGAAGAGGGAGGGGTTGGAAGAGAAACCTCTCGGGACCACTTACGCCCAGAGGGCTCCTGGGATTCCAACTTTGGGATAAGTCAACCGTGCTGCAGTCGATCGCCCACTCGAGCCCTCGCCTCTACTTCGGCTGTGGGTGCCAGCTCGGAGCGCGTTCGGGCCAGCTCACCCGAGCCGGTTTTCCGCTCGCACGGGCTGCCCACCCACCTGGACGGGGGGGGGGGCGGGACGGGAGGGTGGGGGGAGCGGGAATGGAGGATGTGTGGAGGCAGGGAGGGGCAGGGGGGGGAGGGGGGAGGGGCACTTGGGGAGGGGGAGGGGGGAGGGAGGAGGAGGGAGGAAGGAGGAGGGAGGAGGGAGGAGGGAGGACAAAGGAAGGAGGAGGGATGAGGAAGGAGGGAAGAGGGAGGAGGAGGAGGAAGGAGGAGGATTAGGAGGAAGAGGACGAGGGGTAAGGAGTGAAGAGGAGGATCAGCACGTAGTCGCAGTTGGATTCAAGATTGGGCACCCATTGGCAAATCCACCAAGGTCGGGGCTACGAGAATAGGGGGGCACCCTTCGAAGAGACCAAAACATGAGGGTGTCGAGAACCCTCGGACCCGTCTAGGCGAGCATCAGCTCATTGGTCTCACACCCTCGTGATTCATTCCACTGGTCTATCGACTGAGTGTCTTCACCCTCCCTCCTCACCGCGTTGCCCATCTGAGCGATTCATGTGAATCTGGGCTCATAGGGCGCGGCACTCCGAATGGGAAGTGAACTTGCTGGGACATTGGTCCACTCACTGGGTGTGTCGATCCAGTGGTGGGCGGGCCCTTCGGGGGCGTGCATACTCCCCCCGTAGCGCCGAGCGGGGCGTGTTTGGACCCCTCGCTCGGCGCTACGTCAGAGGGGATCTGGTTGCCACTAGCACGGAACTTGCAGCATGCTCCCACAGCAGGGTTTGCCACAGCGCGGGTGCCCACATCGTGGTTTCCCACGACGAAACTTCCTACGGCGAAGCTGCTGTGAGTGAGGTTTCCCACAGTGCGGCTCACAGGGACCACGAAGGCCAGACACTAGATAGACGTACAGCCTCTGGTGTGTCCAGTTTCTGCCCCGGCACGGCTATCCTACGCATGTAAGTGCAACAGCTTTCGGTTTTTAAGGTACTCCGCGAGGGAGGCAGAAAGCCCCAGCAAGCCCCTGGTCACGCAGAAGATCACGGATCACCGCATGGCGCCCATGGAGCCGCCATGAGGGCCGTAGGAGGCACCGCAAGGCGCCAAGACGGTCCAG